ATTGCACCTTGTACAGTGAAATTAAACGCCATCTTCAGTGTACGTTATAATTTTAAAAATAAAAACACAAACACACCGCATTCCATACAATTGAATTGAAAACCCCTGATATTGCATTAAGATTACACTATACCGTAGAATTCAGTATAGTTGCTGCTTTGGGATAGAAGCTGTTTTTCACCTTATTTGTCCTTGTTTTTATTATCCTGTACCGGCTGCCAGATGGTAACAGTTAAAAAAAAAAGGATGCCCAGGATGAGGTGGATCGTATGTATGTATGTATGTATGTGCATATATGTGTGTGTTTTCGTAGATTTTCACGGGTACAGGTATGAAGGTTTTGGCGTATTTGGGTCTTTTCACATATATATTAGAAGCTTATATATAAAAATACTGGAAGCTGAAAGACTCTTCCTGTCTCCTTCCAGCACGAATGGGACCTACGTGAAACAAGGCAAATACGGAGCAGCTGTAGTGGGAAGCCACGCCACTCAGGAGGTAAGAGGTGGAATCCATGCTTCCCTTTGTGTCCTGTTTTATGTCCTCCCCATCTGCCACCCCCTTCCTTCCTTCCTTCCTTCCTCCCTCCCTCCCTCCCTTCCTCTCATTCCTTCCTCTCATTCCCATCTCCTTCCTCCCTTTCTTCCTCCCTTATGACTAGATTTCTTTCTTCCTCCCTTCCTTCTTTCCCTCCCACCCTCTCATTCCTTCCTCTCTTTCCCATCTCCTTCCTTCCTTCCTCACTTATGACTAGATTCCTTCCTTCCTCTCTCCCTTCCTTCCCACCTCCCTTCCTTTCATTCCTTCCTTTCATTCCCATCTCCTTCCTTCCTTCCGATCTTCCTTCCTCATGACTAGATTCCTTCCTTCCTTCCTCCCTCCCTCCCTCCCATCCTCTCATTCCTTCCTCTCATTCCCATCTCCTTCCTTCCTTCTTCCTTCCTTCCTTCCTCACTTATGACTAGATTCCTTCATTCCTTCCCTCCCCCTCCCTTCCTCTCATTCCTTCCTTTCATTCCCCTTCCTTCCTTCCTTCCTTCCTGCCTCCCTCCCGTCCTCTCATTCCTTCCTCTCATTCCCATCTCCTTCCTTCCTTCCTTCCTTCCTTCCTTCCTTCCTTCCCTCCCTCCCTCCCTCCCTCCCTCCCTCCTTTTCTCTCATTCTTTCCTTT